TGACAGGCCCTCCGTCCTTTTACCGGATACGAAGAACAGCCAGGTTTTGATCTACACCTGTAGGACTTAGAACTGTTTTAGTTCATATTTATTTTTCTAAGAAATGCAAAATTAGATTGTGTAAATATATTCTCTTGTAGCAGCAGCGCACCATGGGGTTAAGTGGCAATGCCTTTCAAGTTCTGTGCCCTTGAGTAGGCTGGTTATACTGCTGGGTCTTCCTTATCAGTAACACGTGGTTAATATCAATGTTCGTTTCAGAAGAATCTGCATATGGAATGTTTAGATTACATTAAATTTTATTATCTCTTAGGTTTCTTAAGCATAATAGTCAGTTAAGCAATGGAATCCTGGCACATTTACTATAGAAATAGTGTGTGAAATCTTGAGCTCTTAAATTTCAGTTCTTACCCTTACCTCTCTAATCTAAGTTCCACACAAAACTAACACACGTCCTTGAAAATATGATACAGTTACATTTAAAAATGGTAATAGCTCCACAGATATCTTCTGTTTTCTACAAATTAAATCTCAGTCATTTTTAGTGGTTGAGATTTTCCTTGAGGGTTCATGTTATGGATTTTAGTATGCATTAGGCAAAGAATACAGAAAAAAATCAAGAAAAAAAAGAGTGATGACATGAATAACAAAAGCTATCATTTGTAGATTGTTTTATGCCAGCCACTGTGTTGGCACTTTTTATGGTCTAATGCAATCACAAGTGATCCCGTGCTTGTTTATTTTATTGGATGGTATAAGATTATAGCAGAGGAAATCAATCATGCATTTTATTTCTTTGTGGAAACTAGTACTGTCTTGTATTGATTCCTTCAAGTACGAGGGACAGTTTGCCACCTCAGAGAGATCATACGTTCTTAGAAGGCAGGTGTCATGCCTTCAGCGTGGTTTTTCCACCCCCTGAAGCAACAAATAGCAGCTCTATGCATGTGGTAGATAAATAAAAGAAATGCTTCCAGCTGTTCTCGGAGTCACAGTTTAAGATATGTTTGTGGAAAGGGTAAAGTGGGCATGAAGGCTCAAAGGCAATAACATTCTAGCTCCGATTTAATCACTCGCATATTTATGTTCCTGGAATACTTATTTTTGAAGCTTTTAGCTTTTTCTAGTAAAGCAGAGATACTGACAGGAGCCCTGTTTTTCATATGTAGATAAGCCAACCTGTAAACAACACCTTAAAAAAATGCTTGCTCTAGAATGTCTTAAAAAATGGTACAAATTGAGAATTCAAAGCTACTTATATGGCATCTTAAATACGTCTTTGTCTTTGTATGATATGTAATTATTAAAGATTATTTCCTCATTTTTTTGCTTTAATAACAAGAAGCACTTTATGGTTAACATAGGCTGGCCTTTCTATTTACAAATTTGATTTGTTTTAAAGATTTTATTATTTCCCTTATAAAGCCAAGATCCATAATTATTCTTTTCCTTTAAAAATACTTGGTGTTATGTTAGCCAAAGTATGTTGTTTAGAACCCTTATCTCATTACATATCACTCAAGAATGGATGTTATAATCAAAACTATTTGGAAAATGCTGCATGACATATGACCATTAAGAGGTTCATGGTATTTATTAGAGTATTAAAATTTATGTCAGTATAGAATAATAAAGTTTATAAGTTCCAATGTAAGGAAACATTAAATTTTGTTTAATCAAGCATTTCCTAATTTTTTTTATCTTGGATAATATAATATTTCTGTCCCCCGTTCCTAGGGATGATACTTAAAATAGTTAACAGCCAGCGCATTGGCTCACCAGCCAGCCTGCTGCTCAACTGTCTGTCTCTCTGCTCCTTCAGAGCCCACATCCCTAGGAGACTGCAGTTCCCACAGTTGACCATGCAGAGGTAGCTGGAAGCATCTGTTAGCTGTGAAGAGGGTTCGCAGATGGGCACTAAGAATTGCCTTCCAGGGTGACCTTCTCCAAGGTCACTTTCTCCTTCCCTGGGATTAGCTGAGGCACTGACCAATCAGAACAGGGGCTCCTCTTGATGTTGGAGCAAGTTCCTTGAGGACCTCTGTTGTGCCAGCCCATAATCTTTTGATTGCTGGACTCTCTAGGAGGCCTCCAGGGGAGAGGCCATGTGGTGAGGTTGGCACAAGTGCTACTCAGAGAACTTGGTTCCGTAAACATTTTCCAACTGCTCTGCAAGTGTTGGGTTGTTTCCATTTCTTTACCACTGTACCCATGTGTCCCGGCTGAATGTCAGTTTTATCCACGACACATGTCAACACTCTAATTCTAATGGTATGGGACAGACTTTGGCAACTGTCAGTTTATGCCATTTGGGGTTTGTGCAAATTTGTCATTTTTTCCTTACTGTCTATTGATGATTACAATACCATAATGTTTAAACACATAGCGTTGCCAAAATTGAGAATTAACAAATTTTATTTTAGTTTTTGAGGTTTGAAAAATCAAGGGGCAAGACATAGCACAAAAAGTCATGGCAAGTACTTTAGAGGGTCTAGACTGGTGATGTTTTAAGAAGAGGAAAGCATCCAGTAATGTAGTGTAAGTTCTCTGAAAAAAAGTCTAATGTACTTCTGAGCTAGTTCCTCCATTATCATATCATTACATTGGGATTTCAGTTAAACACGCACACAAATGAAGATGAGTTCATACAGAATCCTTATAGAATAATCCTTATTTGCCCTTGTAGAGTATTTTTAGTGTAAAAATATTCACTGACTATCTCAGGGGACAAGCTGATAAAAATTGTAAAAACATACGCTACTCACCATATCTCTAGGGACTAGTCCCTGCTTCTCTAGCCCTCTTTCCTGTTAGCCCCACAGGAAAAGTGAACCCTTTTCTCATCCCCAGCATATAGTGCTACTGGTTTCCCCTTATCACTAGGCCAAATTATTAATGTAACAATATTTCCACATTCTGTCCTTCTCACATCACCACCGCCATGTAGATTTTGCATTTGTTTGTTCTTGAACTTGTAAGTGTTGTTCAGAATAATGAATACAAAAAGCTATCTGAGAAAAGGAGCTAGAGAAAGGCTAGTACAATTTTTGAGGCAAAGAAGTCTTACTATGAAGAGAAAGTTCCCCTGTTACTTACCCTTCAAACTTCTCACTTGCCCCAGTGACACCAGGTTAAGAATGGGAGAGAAAATGCTAAACACCAAGATTGCACTGAGTCAGGAGATGAGTCTCAGATATTTCTTGGAGAAGAGGGGGAAATTTCACCTCAGCATGAGTTTAACTAGAGAAAAGATGAATGTGGTCCGTAGATAAGATTTAGGGAAGGGTTCTGGCTTCCTCTTCAAATGGTCCTGAAGAAAGCAGGTTCCTGGCGGTGCCTTCTAGGTTATAGTGCTCTTACCTCTTCCCTTTTCTAAAGTCCTACCCATGTTCCATTTTCAAGATTTGTGGTTTTTCCAAAAATCATTGCATAATACTCCAGTCTTTGGTGATCTGAAGTATCATCTAAATTTTATGAAGTTTTGACTATTTGTAATGCATATAGATAGTCATTCATATATATATGTGTGTGTGTGTGTGTGTGTGTATGTGTGTGTGTGTGTGTGTGTATATATTTTTTTAGGGTAAACATACCCTGTATTCCCAGCCAGAATAGATTTTTAATTTCTTAATTCCAGGATCACATGTTGCACAGCTTTTGCATTCTGGTGTCTGGTTGGGGGTAGGTTCTTAGTGCACAGTGATGAGATTGTTCGCAAGAACATCTTCTATTTACTCTTTCTGGCCTGTAGAAATTTGTAACTTTAATCAATATTAGAGATGAATTAAAATGATGACATTTTTGTGTTTTTCTAATTAAACTAATTTTATTTTCTAAGCCTTGTTAATTTTTATCTGTATCATTGCCCTTAACACATTATAACTTTATATACCTGCCTCTCAAGTAAAGCTGTTGGATTCTTGAGAGTAGGGACAATGTGTTGTATCCCGGTATTTAGCATAGAGCCTGTTACATTTTTAGGAACTCTACAAATATGAATGAATGAATGAATGAATGAATGAATGAATGAATGAATGAATTGCATTGAAAATCTCCTATATGTAAAAAGAAGGCTGAAAGGAACTTTCATCTATATCTGTTTTCTTTAAATTAAAAAAAGAGCTGTGGTATAATATTAGTAACACAGGACTTAGGGTCAGAATACCTCCATTCACATTCTAACTGGCCACTTATCAGCTGTCTCCTTTGAATGGGTCACTTAAGTTCTCTCATCCACTTTCCCCAAGTACAGATAATATTCTCTACTGCCCATAATGGTAATAATGATCTAACAAGATTATAATTCTGAAATATGTAATAGACTTTCACAGAGGAGGTGATTAAGGCCTATTTATTAGTCTGAATTAATGTTATTGACCAATGGATAGACAAAGAGGAAAGAATCTCCACAAAGGGAGGGTCAGTGCCAAGAAGTAATCTCTCTCAACTCCATCTTGCTTAACACTGAAAAAGACTGCCCAGTAACATGTTAAGGTTCATATATTAAGACATTTTCTTTCTATTAGATAATAGGAAAAGACTGAATGACCTTTGAAGGGACTGACCCACCATATATTCTATGACTCATGGAAGAAAAAACAATTTGTAGATAAATCTGGAGAACCTGCTTTTCCACTATGTCAAAGATGAAGCATCAGTTCCAAAATGTCGAATCTAAGTAAAATCTCTTTATTTCTTTGGCCAATTTAAGGGACGTGCTTATCTCTTGATCTTTTAAAATTAACCACATTCGTTATGCAATGTACATATGCTAAGGAGCAGTAGAGAGATGGAGTTTTCGTTTTTACCAATTCAATTTAAATGCAAATGTTAACCACTCACATGATGCTACTGTGTACATAATTAAGCATCATTATGTACTACATGAATCATTTAGCAACCTTCCAAGAGCCGCTCGACTACGTAAAACATACATTATGCTGACAAGCAGCCAAATGACGTATACTTCTGTCCTCATTAATGCTCCTTTTGTATTATAGGTCCACCGACTATGGGACAACCTATGAGAAACTGAATGATAAAGTTGGGTTGAAAACAATTTTAAGCTACCTCTACGTGTGTCCCACCAACAAACGTAAGGTAAGAAATGTGTTTTCAGCATGTGATGTCTTTGTGATGTGACTTCTGTCTTGGTTCACTAACCTCTCCAGCCACCTAAAAACCCATCACAGGTCGGCTTGAAGAGAGGCATAGATGAGATGATGAATGATAAGGTGGTGAAGTGTCTGACGCATCGTAATTTGCAGATCAGCAGCTGTGACTGTAGGAGGGCAACGGGAGGGATATCATTACCTTTTCCAAAAGGTGACGACAGGAAATGAGTCTTGTTAAATGGACGCTGCTGGCACTCTTGTAAGACCGATGACCAATCAGTGACAAGAAGCAGAACAGGCCTTGACAAAACAGAAAAAAAAGAGATTTTCATTTGTTGTTCTCTGTTTTCCCCTGACATGGAGTAAATAGATTAACTGGAATTGAAAGAAATACATTGTCTTACAGCAGGTTGGAAGTTTCATTTCTAAAGTTTATTCAACCTGTATACAAATGCCAGGATGAAGCTTCTGCTAGAAAGAGCCTTGTAGGTCAGCAAATACCACTCCCTAATTTTACAGATGACAAAACTAAGGTTTAAAAGAAGAAAATGCTTAGTTCCCATTGCAGATTTATGGATGCAACTGGGACTAGAATTCAGGTTTCTTGGTGGGCAGTCATAGTACATTATACTGCTCCCATTATTCTTCTGAGAGGGATGTTATTTTCTTAGGAAGAAAATGTTTGCATTTAAATAGGAAAGGTCTGTTTGTCTCAGGAGGAGAGTTATTTGGTCAAATTATTGCATTGTCAAATTCTCAATTCTGACACAGTTTCTAAGTATTACATGAATTATATGAAATAATAGTGTTCATCAGGAAATAGAAAAGTGCTATTCATTAGTAAAGCCATATTCTGGTAGGAATCTGCACTGATATCGAGGTTCTCATTTCAGACCTGTCAGTAGTTACTTTTAGTGGCCTTGGGTAGGGTCTACATTTGCTTATTTGGACTGTGAAAGGTGGGTGAGAACATCTCTAAATAGATGTTTTCAACACTGGCTTCACATTCAAGGCTCTGGGTGGTCCCTAAATGTGCAAGTGTTGGTCCACCCTGTTGTTCTGGACAGGAGCTCAGGTACCTATACCCTGAGCAAGCTCCCCTGATACTTCTGGTGTGTGTCTAGGATGAGAACCACTTACACAAGTGTAATGTTCCCTCTGGCTTTAAGTATTTCAAGTTCTTCAACAGAAGCAGCATAAAATATATCAGGTGCCCCTAGATTCTGTTCTGATGGCTTGAGTATAAACTCCTCTAAGCCAATTAACAAGTGTACAACTATGGAAATTTACCTAATCTCTCCAAGTACAGTGTCATCTAATTTAAAATAGGGGATAATTATAGTTCCTACCTCAGGAGGAGACTTGTGAGGATTATACGAAATAAGTCATTTCAAGTGTTTAGCACAGAGTAGTTAAGCTTAATCAATGTTTTCTCTTCACTTTATTCTCCTTTTCTCACTCCCCCCTTCTTCATATAATTATTGGAGGTAATAGTAGTGATTATCCTCTATAAATAGCAGTATTCATTAGAACTTTCTACAGCGATAGAAAAGTTTCTCTAAACTGTCCAATACTGTAGACATGAACCACTTGGGGCTACAGAGTGTGTGCAGTGTGGCAAGTATGACTGAGGCACTGGGTTTTACATTTTATTTAATTTCAAGTAATTTAAATGTAAATACACATATTTGGCTGATGGCCACAGTATCACACCAGTGCTACACAGCACAGTTCAGTAGTGTCATCCTTGTACGTTTAGAAATATACCCTGAACTTTCCTGGTGTCCCCTTATTGGCGGGTTATTGGTCCATCATCAACAATTACGTGTAAGCAATTTTGATCTGCTTTATATATCTCCTAAATTGAGGAGATGAACCTATATCCTTTGTTTTTTACAACGAGCTTTAGTTATGCTTGTTGGCCTTGCATCAATTCTTGTAATCCCTACTGATTTTTCCTCGAGTTCACATTTTTAGTAAATTTTGTTTAGCAATCAACACACTGTAGACACCACAGGATACAAAGGGAAATAAGGCAGAACTCTACCCTTAGAGGTCTTGTATTCTCCTAATAAATGCTGTATGAGTTCTTATCATTGAAAGTTGCCTTGAGAGAGCTTCTGCCTCTCAGGGGACTTTGGGTGAGTCACTTATATTTTCCCATTTGTAGAGTGATACAGGCCAAAACAAAGACATTTAATGGAAGAGACCTGAGAATTGTTCTAATCCAGCGATAGTCTCTTTTAATGACGCTGTTAGAGAAGAATGTGATTTAAAAACCCAAGATGTCAGATGTTGCATGTAAGCACAGCCTTTTCATTAGCAGCAGAATTGGTCAGGACCTAGAGATTCCAAGGTTGTTTGCAGTAGCAGGACTTGACGAGTGGGACTGTGACGTCCTGACGTGGCTCTTAAGAGAGGAAGGAAAGTGGAGACAGAAGCCGCACAGAGCCTTGCTGTGGAACCCGCTCACGACACAGCACCAGTGCCCACCAGGCTGCGTACTCACTTACTCTGCAGTTATCTGAGGCCTAGAAGAGGGCATTTGGCTGGGGGCAGTTCCCTGAAAATCAAGACTTGAGAAACAAAGGCATTGCCCATAACTGAGAGAGAGCAGTTTCCTCTAGGACAGGTACCTGCCAGAAGCAGAGTCAGGCCTGAGCTGTTTGAATCACAGTGTTTGTGGGGGAACTGCAGAGAAGGGAGCTTTTCCTCTGCAGACACACAAGGCCTTCAGGGTCACTTTCTGCGAGGTTGATAGATTTAAAAAATATTGGAGGATGATGAAGGTCTTTACAATGGTGCAAAAAAATCAATAAAGTTGACATAACAGTGAATTTGTGTGCAGTTTTTCTACTTATGAGATGAATTTATCACCATGAAAAATGTATTTCTTCCCCCCAAAGGGACACAGTTGGACCAAAGAGATAGTACCTCCACAACATTTTAAAGTATGAATATATTTCCCCGATCAATGAAAATTTATGTTAAAAAAAAGAGGGGAGGGGGGAGAAGGAGGCAAAGGAGGAGGAGAAGCAGAGAAGAATCAGGCTCTGTTAATTATGCAGGACAAAGGCACTTGAGTTCCTTCCAGTTCTCCCAGGACTTCTGCATCCTTCCGTGGAAAGGCCGGCTCCTTTAAAGGGTCGCATCACTTCTTTCAGTTCTCTAGGGTGCTATCGAACACATTAACATGTTTTGTACCAGATACTTCTGTTTGCTTTTCACATCTGTGAGAGCAAATGGAATAAAACGGGCAGCAGGGTAACTGTCCCGCAGTCCCAGAAACCTGTTTTGCCTTCATGCTTTTATTCCTATTTTTAGCTGCTCGCGAGGACCAGTGCAGATCCTCAGTCAGCACAACTCCAGCAGTGGGCATCGTGCCCTGGCCTTGCGGGCAGCTTGACAGGGACATCACTGGGATCAGAGTCCAGAACAAAGCAGGCCCTTATTTAGTTTAAATTGATGATCGCCCTTTGGCTGTCTGCTGTAGATTACAGCAGCTTTTCTTGGATAGGTCTGTTACAGTAAAACCGTCGTGCGTTCACAGGTCAGGATAGAAGATCTTGACCAAGAGACATAGAAAATCTGCCCCGAAGTTTTATCCTCGCTCACGCGTACTCTCTTTCAGGAGGAACCCTGCCCCTGGCCTCTGATATGTGAGGTGGGCTCAAAAGAACAAGGCTGGGGTGGACCCCAGTGGCAGAGGATAGGCAGGCTTAGCCATGTGACACTGTGTCTCCAAGGGAGAGCAGTCCCGACCCCCAGTTCCTGGCCAGTCCCAATGCTTGTTGGTGTTGTCAGTGGTTCATTGGATGCGGATATATAATCTTCTGAGAGAAAAGGTGATTTAAACTATGCCTGAAACGAACAGCTGAGATGCGGAGGGTATTGAGGAGAACAACATACATGTAGCGAAGGGAAAAAAATCGGTGCTGAAATTCCAGTCTCGTTCTCACTGAGTTTATAATTATATTCTGCCTGAAAGGAAGACTTCTTTATACGCTGTGTATATCTATCAACCATACCTTTCCCATTGCCCCCACCAACCTTAGCTGTTCTCCCTTCATGAGGCGTTGTTAACATCCTCAAGGTTTAAAGAATGTAAAATCCTGGGAGGAATTCATTGGAAGAGAGAAGGAACGAGAAAGGGTTTTCTTTAAAAACGTGGATTTTCATTTAGCCCATCATTTAGTTGTTAGATCCTTGTGTTCTCTGCATATGGTGTTTCCAACAAAGAAAAAAAGACAAAACTAGGGGATATTTGTTCTCTCTATTCCCCGCGCCCACTCCAGCTCCTGTTGCTTCTCCTTCTGTGTTCTCCTCACTCCATTAGTATCATCCCTGCTCCCTGTGGGGAGACCCTTCCAAGACTTTCATCCTATAAATAGGACTCCAGGCCGCAGAACACATTGATCATTCTTTTGGGTCTCTTGGTACATGCCAATCTTAAACACTGTATTTTCTCCAGATGTTTAGGTTTTAATTACCATAGTCTTTGTGGCACTTTCTAAATTAGCATTTAATTATTGATTCCTTGCCTCTTGTCTTTATGTCCTGGGCTTGCTTAATTCTTCTTGTCATTTGCTGGGGTGGTTTGTATCATGTGTGTGACAACTTTTGGGGGCAAGAAAGAAGTGGTTGATAGAGTCTGCCAGCATCTCTTAGGGAAAATTCTGGAATCATCGAATCAGAACCTAAGAGATGTTGGGCGTATTCAGATTCCGCTTTTCTGCTTCATAGACATGAAAACCAAGTTCTGGAGAGTTTAGTGACTTGCCTGAGAGGTTGAATGCAGCTGGTGAATTAAAAGCTAAGATCATTAGACCGTTAAAGTAAACCTCGGATGCCACCTATTCCATAAAAATCTAATGAAATCCACTAACGACATTTTCTCAACTCTCTCTTATCTCCCAGGCATCTGCTTTTCTATTCTAACACTTTTCTCTTGCTTCTTTTTATTGATCATGCTAATACAGTTGTCCC